CTTCTCCTGCTGCTCTCCAACCTTGAAGCTTCCTGTGTTCCTTATTGAAACTAGGTGCTTGTTAGGGACGCCTGCTGGCTGACAGGCAGATTGCATCCAGATGCTGAATCCGTGCTGTTTAAAGCCAATTAATCTCAGCCTTGGGGCTTTGGGGATCATCTGGAGATGGGATTTGTATGGAGGCAGGGCAGGATGTTCTGTGATGAGGTCAGAAGGAAAGGCGCACCATGCCGGCCGACTTACAGGGCCTTGGTGTGTGGGGCTTACCGTGGGTCCTGCGTGTGACCCACAAAGCAGTGGAGAAGTGGGGCCCATCACTGGGTGGTGGGCCAAGTCACTTGATGTGTGGATTTATCAGGCTGCTCTTCTGTGCGGAGCACAGAGCCCTGGGAGTATGCATCTCACATAGAGGGGGCAATGCATGCCATCTGCCTGGCCTGGCTGCCTGAAGCTTTTGAAAACGGGGTGACCTGCTGAGTCCTGAGACCTAGTGTGAAGGAACCTCACCAATGAGGGGAGGCAGACTGTTTGGGTCTGGAATAGCAGGTGTGCAGGAACTGGCAAATAAAGGCTGCAAGGAGCCGCTGGAGCCACATAGGCTTGACCCCATCCTTGGTCTGTCTTCTCATACTGTGCCGAGACTCAAAATCTGAGATCAGACTTTATTTTGAAAATGGCCAGGAGTCTTGGGCAGGTTTGAGGCCAAATAAGATATTGTGATCAGATCCTCAGAAGACTGCCGGGCACGGTGGTGCGTGCCTATAGTCCCAGCTACTCAGGAGGCTGAGGCAGGAGGATCTCTTGAGTCCAGGAGTTCTGGGCTGTAGTGTGCTATGCCGTTTGGGTGTCTGCACTAAGTTCGGCGTCAATATGGTGACCTCCCAATAGTGGAGGACCACCAGGTTGCTTAAGGAGGGGTGAACCGGCCCAGGTCAGAAACGGAGCAGGTCAAAACTCCCGTGCTGATCAGTAGTGGGATTGCGCCTGTGAATGGCCACTGCACTCCAGCCTGGGCAACATAGCAAGACCCTGTCTCTTAAAAAAAAAAAAGAAAAGGGAACAGATTCTCAGAAGAGTAACCCCTATGGGTGGCTATGACCGATGAGTTAAAGAGTCGAGCCCAGTGGCAGAGGACCTGATATAGGATGGTGCCTCAGGCAGTCCTCAGAGGAGAAGAGGCCCAGAGACCTCATAGACCTGAGACTCTGCAGAGAACCGTTGCCATGACTCAGGGGCATTGTGCAAAGGGTTCTGAGTCATCAAAGATCATAGTGATGTTGCATCATTTAGTGTGTATTTGCTAATATTCTGCTTCTTTCCCTGTGTGCACAGCTCTGTGGGTGGCCTACATGTACGAAATGTTTCGGTCTCCAAGACTGTACCAGACAGTGGGACTTCCTACACCCGACACTGGGGCGATGGCGCTGTGCCAGTGTGAGATGGGGGTTAGGAACGCCTTCCTGCAGTGATGTTTGGGTTGAGGTCCCAGTAGCTGGAGGAGCCTGCCCTGTGGTTAGGAGGGGCCTTGCAGGCAGAGGGGCACCTACAGCCCACCCCAGGCTCTAAGGGCATGTGGCAGCAGCAGGCAGGAGCCTGGGGTCCAGGTGTCCTCAGTGGAACAGCAAGCCTGGTTCAGCATTTTTGAAAAGATTCCTTTGGCAGCCAAAAAAGTGGGAATGAACAGCAAAGAGGCCAGTTCAGGTCTCTTGCAGTAAGACATGGTGTTGGCCAAGGTATGGGCAAGGGGGCGGGAGACAGCGAAAAATCAAGGCTTGCTCCATGGGCTGGACGATGGGGCTGCTGTAGGAACTGAGGGAGATGAGGAACAGAAGTGTGGAGGAGCACTGAGATGGTCGGCAGGGCCCCTGTTAGCTCTGGCAATGGGTGGGCACACAGCAGCTTGGAGGAGCCAGGCTGAGGTAGCGTGATGGGCCTAGGGTGCTCAGCAGGACTGGGCAGGGTCGGGGAGGGCACCTGCATCACAGGAGGTGTGTAGAATGGAGTGAGGCTGTCTTTGCTCCGGAGCCACATTGGAGAAGTGCTGTCTCAGGACCCCCAGGGAGCCCTGGTACCCCCAGTGGGTGTGTCCTTCTGACCAGCCCTTTCTGGGGGGGCCCACGCGTCTTGCAGCCCCTTACCCACTTCCTTGTGCTTCATCACGGCTGGTGCTCAGCCTGGCTCTGCCCTTGTGCTCGCTCCCCCTGGGAGTTGGGACTTTGCACAACCATTGCTGTGTCCTGAGATGGAGAGTGCCCTGAGACAGGTGGGGGCTTCTTTCTGCTCTGGCAGAAGCACCTGGGCCATGACCCACCAGGCCACAAGTTTGTTCCTGTCCCCCAACTGGATGTGGCTCTTTGAGGCCATGCAGTGCCCCTGTGTGGACACCAGAGAAGAGCTGCAGGGGATTTTTGTGTCCAAATGGAGCTCATACTTGGACCCCTAAAGGGTTGGGGGCAGCCAGGAGCAGCCAGAAGAAACTCTTTTTCAGGAGACCACTCACTGCAGCGTGGAACTCCCGAGTTCAAGTGATCCTCCCACCTCAGCCTCCCAAAGTGTTGGGATTACAGGTGAGAGCTACAGCTACTGTGCCCAGCCTGTTGCTTTTTGTGATCTTTGTTTTTAAATTTTACTTTTTCTAGCACTTTATTTTTATGGTTTTACCAAAATACTAGTCCATGATGAACAAAATAAAAGAACAAAGGAATCTACTTTTGCATGGTATGTTAGACCATTCTTACGTTGCTAGAAAGAAATACCTGACGCTGGGTCATTTAAAAAGAAAGGAGATTTAGGCCGGGCGCTGTGGCTCACCCCTGTAATCCCAGCACTTTGGGAGGCTGAGGCGGGCGGATCACGAGGTCAGGAGTTCGATCAGCCTGACCAACATAGTGAAATCCCGTCTCTACTAAAAATACAAAAATTAGCCAGGTGTGGTGGTGCACACCTATAATCCCAGATACTCAGGAGGCTGAGGCAGGAGAATTGCTTGAACCTGGCAGGCGGAGGTTGCGGTGAGCTGAGATCGCTCCATTGCCCTCAAGCCTGGGCAACAAGAGTGAAATTCCATCTCAAAATAAGTAAATATACAGTGTGGAAAAAAAAGAATAGTATTTAATTATGATTTTAAAAATAAATAAATAAAGGAGTTTTAATTGGCTCACGGTTCTACTGGCTGTACAGGAAGCATAGCACTGGCACCAGCTTCTTCGGAGGCCTCAGGAAACTTTTACTCCCAGAAGGTGAAGGGGGAGCAGGCACAAAGCAAGAGAGGGCGCGTGAGTGGTGGAGAGGTGCCACCCACTTTTAAATGACCAGAACTCACCATCACCAAGGCAGCACCCAGCCATGAGGCGTCTGCCCGCACCATCCAAACACCTCTACCAGGCCCCACCTCCAGTGATGGGGAGTATAATTCTACACAAGATTTGGGCAGGGATAAAGATCCTAACTGTCTCAGGTGTTGAATCTTCCAGGAGTAGGGCGCTGGGTAGGAAGCTGGCTCTGAGGGACTGATGTGGGTTTCAGTCCTCATGTAGTCACTTAGCAGCCCTAGTTTTCTCAGCTGTGAAATGGACAGAGTGCTGCATTAAAGCTATTTTATAGAACCTAGCTCTTGTAGCTGGGCAAACCATGTTTCCCATCTTTCCTTCCTCTATTTCCTCTGGATTTCTTTTTTTTTTTTTTTTTTTTTTTTTTTTTCTGAGACGGAGTCTTGCTCTGTTGCCAGGCTGGAGTGCAGTGGCACAGTCTTAGCTCACTGTAACCTCCGCCTCCCGGGTTCAAGTGATCCTTCCACCTCAGCCTCCTGAGTATCTGGGACTACAGGCATGTGCCACCACACCCGGCTAATTTTTGTATTTTTAGCAGACACGGGGTTTCACCATGTTGGCCAGGATGGTCTCGATCTCTTGACCTCGTGATCCGCCTGCCTCGGCCTCCCAAAGGGCTGGGATTACAGGTGTGAGCCCCCGTGCCTGGCCTGGATTTCTTTTTTTAAAAAAATTTTGCAACAAACCACACTGCCATGTATGTACCTATGCAACAGTTCTGCATGGTCTGCACATGTACCCCAGAACCTAAAGTGCAGTAAAATATATATTAAAATTTTTTTTTAATTTTTGGAAACAGAGTCTTACTGTTGCCCTGGCTGGAGTGCAGCAGCACGATCTTGGCTCACTGTAACCTCTGCCTTCTGGATTCGAGTGATCCTCCTGGTTCAGCCTCCCAAGCAGCTGGGACTACAGGCGCCCACCACCACACCCCGCTAATTTATATTTTTAGTAGAGATGGGGTTACACCATGTTGGCTGGGCTGGTCTTGAACTCCTGACCTCAGGTGATCTACCTTCCAGGCTAAGTGCAGTGGCATGATCTCAGCTCACTGCAACCTCCGTCTCCCAGGTTCAAGCAGTTCTGCCTCAGCCTCCCAAGTAGCTGGGATTACAGGTGCGTACCACCACACCTGGCTAATTTTTTTGCTGCTGTTGTTTTGTTTTTTGAGATGCAGTATCACTCTGTCATCCAGGCTGGAGTGCAGTGGTGCAATCTCGGCTCACTGCAACCTCCACCTCCCGGGTTCAAGTGATTCTCATGCCTCAGCCTCCCAAGTAGCTGGGACTACAGGCATGTGCCACCATACCCGGCTAATTTTTTTGTATTTTTAGTAGAGACGGGGTTTCACCATGTTAGCCAGGATGGTCTCGGTCTCCTGACTTCGTGATCCACCTGCCTCGGCCTCCCAAAGTGCTGGGATTACAGGTGTGAGCCACCGCAAGCCTTATTTTTGTATTTTTAGTAGAGACAAGTTTTTGCTGTGTGTTAGGCTGGTCTTGAACTCCTGACCTCAGGTGATCTGCCCACCTTGGCCTCTGAAAATGCTGGGATTACAGGTGTGAGCCGCCATATCCAGCCATGGTGACTGTTGATAGGGAATGGGAGGTGGGTATTGTGGAAGGAAAGTTAGGGCCCCTAACCGAGTACCTGTACCTGCCTTCATTGCAGTGGCCACCATGCTGCCGCTGGGCTCGGCGCCGGCCCTGAACGAGCTACTGCTTCGAAAGGAGGAGGAATGGAGGGCGCTGCAGGCCCGCCACACCAGGCTGCAGGAGGCGGCTCTGCAGGACACACAGAGCCAGCTGCAGGAGGCTCAGGGGAAACTGCGGTGCCTGCAGGAGGACTTCGTCTACAACCTGCAGGTGCTGGAGGAGCGGGACCTTGAGCTGGAGCGCTATGACGCCGCCTTCGCCCAGGCCAGGGAGTGGGAGGAGGCCCGGCGGGCGGAGGTGAGCGAGCTCAAGATAGAGGCAGCTAAGCTGAGGCAGGCGCTAGCCAGAGAGGCCAGGAAGGTGGAGGAGCTGCAGCAGCAGCAGCAGCTGGCATGGCAGGAGCATCGCCTGGAGCTGGAGCGCGTCCACAGGTGAGCCATGACAGACGCGCCTCCTGTGCAGCGCCTGGCGGAGGCCCCCGCAGGCCTCCTGCTCCGCCGAGCTGCCCGAATGCTGTCCAATCTCACTGCCCTCCTCCCGCTGCTGATTCCAGGACACGGGAGCTGGTCTGAGTGGCAGAGTGCCTCATGGCCTCTGAACACCTGTTTGTTGAGTGAATGTGAATCCCATGGATCCAGGAATGCCCTGGCTGTCTTTTTTGGTGTTCTGATACAACTCTGAAATTAATGGAGTTTATTTTAAATATTTGGAATTTATTTCATTAATTAAATGAAGCCTGTGGTGGGACCCCTGGAACTCACCCACATGCCTGGTATCCCCTCAGCTCCACTCATCCAGCCGTGCTGTGGAGAGTTTGAGGAGACAGGTAGGAAGGGAGGGAGCATTCTCTGACAAGCTCTTCCATCCCCCAGCTTTGGAAGCACTGCATATTCATCATAGCACGTTAGCTGTTAGATGCCCTTCCCTGTGTGGTGCATGTGTACAGACATCAGGAGAGGAGCCGGCTGCATGCTCTGTTTGCACTTCACAGGATCCTGGATATTTTTTCATGATTTATATATTCTTCTAACATAAGCAGCATTTTTTTTTTTTTTTTTTTTTTGAGTTGGAGTCTTGCCGTGTCACCCAGGCTGGAGTGCAGTGGCACGACCTTGGCTCACTGCAACCTCCATCTCCCGGGTTCAAGTGATTCTCCCGCCTCAGCTTCTGGAGTACATGGGACTACAGGTGCCTGCCGCCATGGCCAGCTAATTTTTTTTTGAGACAGAGTCTTACTTTGTCACCCAGGCTGGAGTGCAGTGGCACGATCTTGGCTCACTGCAATCTCTGCCGCCCGGGTTGAAGCAATTCTCTTGCCTCAGCCTCCCAAGTAGCTGGGTTAACAGGCACCTACTACCATACCAGGTTAATTTTTGTAATTTTAGTAGAGACAGGGTTTCACCATCTTGGCCAGGCTTGTCTTGAACTCCTCACCTTATGATCCACCCGCCTCATCCTCCCAAAGTGCTGGGATTACAGGCGTGAGCCACCAACCACAGCCGGCCTTTTTTTTTCCCCCTTTTTGTATTTTTACTAGAGACAGGGTTTTGCCATGTTGCCCAAGCTGGCCTTGAACTCCTGACCTCAGGCTATCCACTGGCCTCAGCCTTGCAAAGTGCTCAGATTACAGGTGTGCGCCATCACGCCTGGCTGTAAGCAGCTTTTTAAAGCACTTTTTAACGCCACAGGAGTAAACTGTTCTTGTCATAGAAGGTCATTTCTTACAGAAGATGATGTGGTGGAATGTCCAAGTGAAAGCCACTGCAGGTAGTCTGTTGTGTCATCTCCAGGACCCAAATAGAGCCTCCCGCGCACACTGCTTCGAAATGTGTATACCTTTGGTAAATATTTAGTATGGCTTTTCTTAATGCTGTTTTATTACCATAGTGACAAGAATGGTGAGATTGACCACCACCGGGAACAATATGAAAATCTCAAATGGAGGCTGGAGAGAAAGCTTGAGGAGCTCGACAGTGAGCTTGCTCTGCAGAGACAGGTACAGCCTCTGGGGGTCGGCCCTTTTTGGGTGCTTTCCCCGCCTGCCCACTGTGAAACTGAAATCATACAGGGTTGGGGAAAAGACAACCATTGGGTTCATTGCCTGCATTCTCCTTGGGAGTAAAGTGGGGTCACTGGGGCAGATGCCACTCTGGGATGGGCTGCAGGGAAACAGGATGGGATGTCTACATGCAGCCACTCTCAGTGTTTCCTTTCCTCATGGGTTAGTCAGGGTTCTCCAGGGAAACAAGCAATAGGAGACGCGTAGATGTGTAGGAGATAAATTGTAGGAATTGACTCATGCAGTTATGGCAGCCATGAAGTCCCACAGTTTGCCCTCTGCAAGCTGGAGAACCTGGGAAGCTGGTGGTGTAATTCAGCACAGGTTCAAAGCCCTGAGCATGAGGGAGCCACTGATGTGAGTCCTGGTCCAGTTCTGAAGGCCCAAGACTCAGGACTGTGATGTCCGAGGGCAGGAGAAGGTGAATGTCTTAGCTCAAGCAAGGAGAGCGAATTCACCCTTCCTTACGTTTTGTTCCATTCAGGCCCTCAGTGGATTGGATGGTGCCCATCCACACTGGGGAGGAAGGATCATCTTTTCTTCATCTGTGAATTCAAACACTGATGTCTTCGGGAAGCGCCCTTGCAGACATTCCCTAAGACAATATTTTACCAACTGTGTGGGCTGCCGGTAGCCCAGTCGTTTGCCACAGGAAATTAACCTGCATACCTCAGAAATGATGAAATTTTTAGAAAACGTATAATTTTAAAAACATGAGGTATTTACTGTAGAAAAGAATTTGGAATTCCAATTATGGTAAGTTTGAAAACAGGTGCTTCAACTGACAATTGGCGGTCACCAAATTTCTCCTTGGGGGTTCTTGAAACTAACCCTACACCTCCGAGAGACTCAGCTGTGCTGGGGTTTTGTAGGACATCCAATAGATTTATATCCAGAGACCACATTCAGAGATGCTGCCACTGTGAGCACGTGACAAGGGGTTGTGTCTCTGCGTGTACAGGTCTGATGAGGGGCTGTGTCTGTGCAGGTGCAGGTATGACGTGGGCCTGCGTCTCGGCAGGTGCAGGAGTCACGAGGGGCTGTGTCTGTGCAGGTGCAGGAGTCACGGGGGGTTGTGACTCTGCAGGTGTCATGAGGGGCTGCCTCTGTGCAGGTGCAGCAGTGTTGAAGGGCTTTGTGCAGGTGTGACAGGGTCTCCTCTCTTGTCCTGTCAGATGTTAGGAGTTTGGTTGTGTTGAGAATTTGCCACACTCACGTCAGCAGAGAAGAAGGCCACGCTCATGTCATGATGGCCTCTTGTGTGGACTTGCTGTCCACTTGTGCCTGGAAGCAACTCCCCTTGTTCACAGGTCCCTGAGGCTGCTTCTGAAAGGGCCTGGAGAGGACTTTCTCTTGGAATTCTCAGGGACCAAGGAGCTTTGTCGATTACGGGTGGACTTGACTTTCGGAACAGCCAGAGTTCTTTAGGCATGAAGCCAGCATCTAAAATCGGTGGTCAAGAAGAGACCAATGATGACTTTTGTAAGTAATGAGGCTTTCTCAAGTGGCTCCAGATCACTTTCAAAAAAGGAGTTTGAGGCCGGGCGCGGTGGCTCAAGCCTGTAATCCCAGCACTTTGGGAGGCCGAGGCGGGTGGATCACAAGGTCAAGAGATCGAGACCATCCTGGTCAACATGGTGAAACCCCGTCTCTACTATAAAACTACAAAAAAATTAGCTGGGCATGGTGGCGCGTGTCTGTAGTCCCAGCTACTCAGGAGGCTGAGGCAGGAGAATTGCCTGAACTCAGGAAGCGGAGGTTGCGGTGAGCCGAGATCGCGCCATTGCACTCCAGCCTGGGCAACAAGAGTGAAACTCCGTCTCAAAAAAAAAAAAAAGGAGTTTGAGGAGGATCCAGCTGTGGGTGGTCCTGCCTAGCAGGGGGGGAGCTCTCAGCCGCATTTGGGGACAGTGACAATTTGAGGCTGTTGTAGCCGGTGGGACACAGCCATTCTTGTCAGGGTTTCTGGCTGGGCCGTGACTCTGGCTGACTTCTTAGGCTGTCCTCGCCGAGCTTCTCAGACTCGGCAGGGTTTGTTCAGGGAGAGCCCTCTCAGATGTGGGGAACATGGATTTTTTTTTTTTTATCGTGTTCAGATAGTAGCCTTGTCTCTGGAAGGAAGGAAATACCTGTTTTAACTTAGCAGCATTGGTTACTGTGGGCAAGTTTGGCGGCACATATCTAGTGTGGCTTTGGGCAGTCTGATCCCGTGTGGGCTCTGGGATGCTGGCACTGGCTGTTGGGAAGCCCTGTTCTGCTGCTCCTCGCATCTCCGCCTTTTAGTTACTAAGCTGGGGTCTTAGATGCTTGTCAGTTTCATGGCTTCCTTTGGTCTGATTTCTTGTCTCTTGTTTCAAAAGATCTTTGTGTTTATTATTGTTAGAGGTAGAATTGACTCAATAGAGATGAGGATTTCTTTTTCCTCTCCTTTTTTTTTTTTTTTTTTTTTTTTTTGTAGAGACAGGGTCTCACTATGTTGCCCAGGCTGGTCTTGAACTTCTGGGCTCAAGCAATCCTCCTGCCCCAGCCTCTTAGAGTGCTGTTATTGGTGTCACTGACCCCAGCTTCTCTCCTTGACAGTGTGTATGGTCCTTCTCTGTTGACCACTGTGTCCTGCTCACCTCTGGATCCCACCTCCTAGGACATGGAGGGGAGGGTCTTTGCTGGGTTCCCACTGTTCTTTCACCATGAAACCTGTTTGTTCCAGGAACTGCTGCTGGAGTTTGAATCGAAAATGCAGAAGAGGGAGCACGAATTCCGTCTGCAGGCTGACAACATGAGCAACACAGCCTTGTCCCAGGAGCTCAAGGTAACTGGGGGCACCCTTGGGTTTTGAAGTTTTTCAGTTTTTCCTTGGCCAAGTGTGGTGGCCACACCTGTCATCCCAGCACTTTGGGAGGCCAAGGCAGGAGGATCCCGTGGGCCCAGGAGTTCGAGACCAGCAAGCAGGTGGGCCATGTGGATGCCCTGTGCCCCATGGCAGGGTGGGCACTCCCATCAAAGGTGGACATTGGGTGCCAGTTCACTTTCGCCTCCAACTGCTGTGTGAGTTGGTCACAGCCCTGAACACCTGCCCGTGGTGGGCATCACAATACGCACATCAGCAGGAAAAGCAAGAGCTGAGTCTCGGTGCCTGCTCATGCAGGGCGCAGCCCGGTCCTCACACCAGCGGACTTGGGCGCAGCAGCCATCGTCACTGCCCATAGCTTACAGGCTGGGAAACAAGCCCGGGGAGGTACTGAAGAGTTCAGGGTGCAGCTGGGACTCCAGTGGCTTACGTTTAATTTTCTTATTTAAATAACATGCAAATTATGTGCTAAGAAACAAAAATACAGTTAAATTGGTCTATTGGGCTTGGACATGTATGGGGCACCCTAATGGGACTGATTTTGGTGGGGTGCTGAGTGCTGTCGGAGGGTCATTGAAGGCCAGGCATCGTGGCTCATGCCTATAATCTCAACACATTGGGAAGCTGAGGCCTGTGGATCACCTGAGGTCAGGAATTCAAGACCAACATGGGGAAACTCCATCTCTACTGAAAATACAAAAATTGTCTGGGGGTGGTGGTGGGTACCTTTAATCCCAGCTAATCAAGAGGCTGAGGCAGGAGAATCACTTGACCTGGGAGGCGGAGGTTGCATTGAGCCGAGATCGTACCACTGCTCTCCAGCCTGGGCGACAGAGCAAGACTGTCTCCAAAAAAAAAAAATGGTCATTGAGTCTCATGTGAGTTGTTTTAGTAGATTCTCACCGTTTTACTGCTGCCTGAATTTTTTTCTTCTCTCTCTCAATCCTGATAAAATGGCAGTAGGTACCCCTAATGCCCTGGTGTCTTCCAATTATTGCTGCATTTTGAACTGTTTTTTATCATTCAAAGGTTAAACTACTGCACAAAGAGCTGGAGGCTCTGAAGGAAGCCGGGGCGAAGGCTGCAGAGAGTCTGCAGAGAGCAGAGACCACCAACGCGGAGCTGGAGAGGGAGCTCCAGAGCCGCGCCCGGGAGCTCCAGGACCTCGAGGCTGTGAGTGACGCCCGGTGCGTGAGTCCTTTATCTCCTCCTGAGATGCGCTCTGTGGCAGTGTCGCAGGCCTGGACTGGAGTCTGGGAGGTTGTGCCTTTTCTGCTCATTCCAGGCTGGGCTTTGCTTTCATTTCATCTGCTTCTTCCACCAATATTTATTTCTTTTCAGGATAAAGGACCTAGAGGACAAACTTCACTCTGTGCAGCTAACCAACAAGAAAGAAGAGGAAATATTTAAGAGGAAGTGAGTGGTTAGCCTCCCAACATCATGCAGCGTGTCAGTGGCCCCGGGTGAGGAGGGAAGTGGAGCCACTGTGCTGATGGCCCAGGGAGTGAAGGGTCCCACTCGGGGATTCAGGCCTGGGAACTGCTGTCCTGATTTTCGAGGGAGCGAAGGGTCCCACTCTGGGGGTCGGGCCTGGGAACCACTGTCCTGATTTTCGAGGGAGCGAAGGGT